CAGTCAGCTGAAGTGGCCTGCAGTACTGCACCCTAACCACTGCGCCACCTCAGTAATTGCTGCTACAGCTTGGCGTTTGGAAGCTGCTCTCCAAGCCTGATAAAGGTCTGTAGTTGTGAAATCTCTTGAAAGACTGTTGGCCCGGACTTTGCTGGAGAGGAATTCACTTTAAACTAAATCAAAGGGGTTTTATCAGGACGAGGAGTCAGCTTCGTGCTTTTAGGAAGCCTAGGTCAGAACAAAATCCAGAATCCAGACCTACCCTCATAGAATAAATTCCTTACCTATTGGTTGCCTGTATGGGTGATAGACATGAATATCAAAGGGCCTGTGAGTGGTGTTCGCTAGAACCATTCTGCCTGTTCCATTATATTTATTTCCCTTTTCAATGGTCCCTGTGTTCCAGTCAGTCCAATAGATAGTATCCTCAAAAATTGTAATTGCAAACGGGTGAGGCAATACCCCATCGTACACCGTATGACGATGCTGACCATCAAGATCTGAGTACCTATAAGAAGAAAACATAACACATAACACTGAAGAAAAAGAAAAGGAAACATAATCCCTAATCAACATTCTGCTTGTTTCTGAAAGCGTGGTAACCAAATAGTAATTATAATTCTGAACACAATCATAAATACTACTTTGCAATTTTTTATTTTTTATTTGGATTTCTATATTATTATAAGGGTTACTTATGAAGTACAAGTAGTCCTCATCTTAAAACAGTTCATTTAGTTACAACGGCACAGAAAAAAGTGATGTAGGACCATTCTTCACACTTATGACCACTGGCGCATCCCCATGGTCATATGATCAAAATTCAGCTTGGCAACTGGTTCATATTTATGACGGTTGTGGTGTCCCGAAGTCATGTGATCCCCTTTTGCAACTTCTGACAAGCAAAGTCAATGGGGAAGCCAGATTCATTTAACAATCCTGTTACTAACTTAACAATTGCAATGATTCATTTAACCACAGTGGCCAAGAAAAGTCATAAAAATGGGGCAAAACTCACTTAAGAAATGTTTCACTTAGCAACATAAATGTTATGGCCAGAAGTCCAGGACTACCTGTATTTACTTCATAAGCATGCTGATGTGCAACGGCCAATCATTCTGACTTAGCTCATCCTGAAAGTGAAATGATTTTCAAGGCAAACAAACTTAACTTTAGAGTCAAGCAGAGATTATTCATTTAGTATTCCTCTGGATTCACTGTGGTTAAAGGAATGAAAGGATAGAATCCAAGTAAAAGTTTAGCACTAAACTTTTTCACTCTAATTATTCTGATTTAGTTAGCGCATTTTAAAGAGAAACCAATTGGGAAGGAAAAGATGTACTATAGCAATAGCACTTAGATTTATATTCCACTTCACAGTGCTTTCTAGCCCTGTCTAAGCAGTTTATAGACTCAGCATATTTCCCACAACAATCAGGGTCCTCATTTTACCCGCCTTGGAAGGATGGAAGGCTGAGTTAACCCTGAGCCTGGTGGGATTTGAACTGCCAAATTGCAGGTAGCGGGCAGTCAGCAAAAGTAGCCTGCAGTACTGCACTCTAACCACTGCATCACCAAGGCTCTCGGACTATTCTAGCATAGTCACACTTGCTCATTCTCACTTTTATCCAAGCAGGGTCTTTATGTTTCAAAACGAAGTTGAATAATAAACAACACATTTTGATTCTGAACAAAACCAACGATTTAAAATTAAATTAATTTTGGACTGAATTTTGAATGTTATACTATCTTGATGGGCTTTAGGAGATCTAGTGCAAAATAAAACTTGCAAGCCAGGTATCTGTCTACTCTATTCCACTTTTTAAACCATTCTTTGTCATCTCCTACTGGCTTCAAAAAGATCTCAAATTTTAATAAAGAATTCAGGACTCAAGGAGACACAACAGACTGTATCTCCTTGACACAATTAGAACCAACTAGGTATTACCAACTAGAACCGTGATGGCGAACCTGTGGCACACAGTGCCCTCTCTGTGGGCATGTGAGCTGTCAACCTAGTTCAGATCTGCTGCTGGTGTGCGCGCGCCTCCCACCAGCCAGCTAGTTGTCGGGTCTTTGCAATGCATGCGCAGGGGCAGGGCGCATGCAGGTTCACAGACGCATTTGCAGGGGCAGTGCGCATGCAGAGGACCCACATGTGCATGTAAGGGGCACGCACATTGCATTTTGGGAGTTCGGCCGTACGCATTCGCACATGCATCCTTTGGGCACTCGGTCTGGAAAAGGTTAGCCGTCACTGAACTAGAAGCAGTTCCATTACTTATTATGCTTTTATTATTACTTTATTAATATCCCACCTTTGTTATTTTTATGAACAATTCAAGGCGGTGAACATATCTAAATATCCCTTCCTCCTCCAATTTCCCCCAAAACAGCAACCCTATGAGGTGGGTTGTGGCTGAAAGAGAATGACTGGCCCAAGGTCACCCAGCCGACTTTCATGGCTAAAGTGGAACTAGAACTCAAGTTGTCTGGTTTCTATCGCCTGCTGCCTTAATCACTCAATGAAACTAAGCTCTAGTAAATGAGATTAACTAGATTAGTTCCACCAGAACAGTCCTTATCCTAGCATTAGAATAACTATTTGTTGAATTACCATTAAAAACATTAAAATTTAAAAAATGTAGTAGAATAGAAGACCATTCAGCAAAAAAAGAGAGAGCAGTTTATGCAGTCCTATGCCTTACAGAACTCTATGTTATGATGATCTAGAATTCTTTTATTCATTACTGATTGCTAATTATTGTGCTGAAATCACAGAGCAAGTAGTTTTCCAATTGGTAACTATAGAGCATGTAGTTTTTTTTAAAGTGAATTAAAGCTGCCACTAAAAGCTAATTTGATAACCCTCAAAAGCTGATAGGAAGAGTTACCCAGTTGCTTTATTCTTCTCTATGTACGTACTCAATGTAGTTTAGATGGGCGTCTGCCCAGTAGAGCTTGTCGTTGGTGTAATCTATGGTAAGTCCATTAGGCCACTCTAACTTGGCAGAGATAATCACCGTCTTATTCTTGCCGTCCATTCCCACGCGTCCGATATACGCTCGATCTGCCCAATCTGTCCAGTAGACTTGTCTGTTTTAATAAACACAGTAGAAAACTAATCCATAGTTTGCTGGAGGGGGTGAAGATAACACAAAAATAGATATATTTCCCTGGACAAGAGGATGAAAGGGTGAAAAAGGAAAAAAAACACACACTGCAAAATAAGCAAACACACAGCAAAGAGGAAAATTTATTACAGCAGCCTCCAGACAGGAATATGAGGTTTTTTTTAAATCTTTAAAATATATCACTGCTGTAAAAGGCCCCAGTAGGATAATTTTAATCTAATATTTGCTGAGGGTTGAGATAAATTATTTCACATAAAAAGATTGGATTAAAGTGGGATAGCGGTTCAGACAGATACACACACTTGTGTATGCACACACTCTCACAAATGTTTTACGAATGGGAGTAAAGTAAAATGACTGCCATGCTTAATCTTTTGACACATTCAACAGCTGAATGACTTGCTGTTTTACTTTGAAATTGGCAAGAAAGTAATTAAAGGCTGCATCTTGCAGATTCATACTAAGAAATTACAGTAAAGTCTCAATTGAGTCGAAAATCCTAGAGACTTCATTAAAAAATCTGTGCTAGTTTCTTAGCAACAATATTATTTCCTTCTTCAAAGATAGAATTGGCTTCCTTCCTTCCTTCCTTCCTTCCTTCTTTCCTTCCTTCCTTCCTCCCTCCCTTCTTCCTTTTTTTCTCTGACTCTCTCTGTCTGTCTCTCTAGCTGTCTCTCCTTCCTTCCTTCCTTCCTTCCTTCCTTCCTTCCTTCCTTCCTTTCCTTTCCTTTCCCTTTCTTTCTTTCTTTCTTTCTTTCTTTCTTTCTTTCTTTCTTTCTTTCTTTCTTTCTTTCTTTCTTTCTTTCTT